AGAGTGGGGTGTTTCCAGATTCAGGGAGCTCCTCCTTGTCAGTGCGTGTCTACCCCAAGCAGGCGGGCACAGGCCGGGGTGGTCTGGGTGAGTGATGGTTTGGGTGGGGGTTTGGTAAGGGCAGAGGCTCACTCACCTCGTTCCTGGGTCGGTTTGCGGAAAGGGATGGAAGAGTGGGGTGCTACCAGATTCAGGGAGCAGGGAGCTCCTCCCTGCCTGGGCGTGTCTACCCCAAGAAGGTAGGCGCAGGTGGGGGCGTGGTGGGGGGTGGTGGTGGTAGGGGTGAGTGATGTTTTGGGCAGGAGTTGGGTAAGGGCAGAGGCTCACTCACCTAGTTCCTGGGTCGGTCGGCCACTGAATTTGACTTTTAAGGGCTCTGATTTTATTCCTCCTTAGGCTGTAGCCTTGCTGCCTTCGTCCCTTATAACCTTGTTTTCCCATTTCCAACCTTATCCATTTCATGTAGGGCAGTTTAGCTTTGTGTGTGGGGGTATTGCTTGTTTCTTTGACTGACTGTGAGTGTCCTTAGATCTCTAATTAATTTCTTAAACAAATACAGTCTCTTCCCTGAGAAAAAATTTGGAGTGAGTTGTTTGAAAGGTTGAACTGGGGGCTGGACTCAGTGGTTAAGAACACTTGTTGTTCTTGCAGAAGACATGGGTTCAATTTCCAGTACTCACATGGTAGTTCATAACCATTTATAACTCCACTTCTGGGAGATCCTATGTCTTTTTCTGGCCTCACATACCAAGCATGATACACATATTTACACATGGGTAAAACAGTCATACACATGAAATAAAAGAAATAAATCTAAAAATAAAGCAAGATTTCTACATTGAAGCAGGTGATATTGAAGGAAAAATCAGAAAAGATGTCATAGAGGTGGAAACAGAGTTGGGCCTTGAGAAGTGGGGGCCACATGGCCAGTTATGGGAGGCAGGGAGGAATGCCATGTCTACTCAGATGGGGAGGACTTGGGCAAAACTAACAATTTGTAAGTAGTGGGGGAAGAAGAATTTGAATATGGGGTAATGTAGAAAGGGCTATGAGGGGATAATTCCAGACAACTTGAGAAGCCTAATCCCATAGTAAGAGTTGTCTGAGAAATTTTAGCAGCCAAGTCCAATATGATGAGAGATTTCATGACTTGGGAAGGCCAACTTTTATTTCCCATTTCTTCTTTATTTTTTCTTTCCTTGCCTTTCTTCTTCTTCTTCCTCCTCCTCCTCTTCTTCTTCTTCTCCTTCTCCTTCCTCTTCCTCTTCCTCCTCCTCCTCTCCTTCTACTCCTCCTTCTTTTTTGCTACAAGGTTTCTAAACTGCCTTTTGTGCTATTGTGAGAGAGGAATCCTCCATCTTGTTAAGCTACTGCAATGGGGCACCAAGGAATGTCTTTCACTAATTTAGTTACTTCTACTGAAGGTGTAGAAAGTAGAGTAGACAAGGACTGCTCATGAGGGGAGGACGAGCGAAAGGAGGAGCTCCTGTTGGCAGCTTGCAAAGTTAAGAAGCAGAGAAAAAGGTCCAAGGGGGAAAAGATATATAGGGCTGGGGAGCTTCCTGGCCATTTGCAGTTTCATCACACTGGTCACCTTTGTGACTGTCTGGTCCTAATTCCTGGGGCAGAAAGCAGAACTGTTAGTGGTTGTACGTGAAGAAGATAGGGAACTATGCAAACACCTGGACTGAGATGGAGATTATCAAAGAGTATTCAGTGATATATACAAGGATCAAAAGGGATAAAATCATAGTAACAACAACAGCTGATACTGGATTCTTGTCTTGTCCTTTGGACTATTCTGTGATCTGATGTATTCCAACTTGTTCAATCTGCATAGTACATGCAATGTTCTTATTTCAGAGAGAAGTAAAATGAGGCATGAAGAGGTTACGCCAAAGGTCACCTACAAGTTACAGACCCAAGCTTCAGATTCAAGCACTCTGACCCTCGGCTCATCTCTAAACTGAAACCAAGGGGAATCTTGAGTGACCCCTTTAGACTGAACCAACTCCACTCACTTTTGGTTACTAGCTTTTATGACCAATTTTAGAGATCATTTGGCTAAGGGATCTATTAGTATCCACCAGCTTTTCTGTAGATGACCTCTGTTATGTGAGTCATAAGAGAAAACCTTGCCTAAGTTTTATATTTTAGAATTTGGGGTCACTCTTGCTACCTCAGATCAATTGAAATTGCTGACTTCTCCACCTAGGCCTGTGTGAAGTGTGAGACCCTTTGATGTCTGCTTTTTGATCCTGATAGTGCCACTGTTTTCTGGACACATGTCCTGTGGAGAGCTAGGGCGTCTGGTTATGTGTATGCTGACCCCTGATTCCTCAGCTTCCCTCACCTCTAATACCTTTCCTATGCCTCTTGACAACAAAAGCTTTTTGTTTGTTTGAGACAGGGTTTTCCTGTGGCTTTGGAGGCTGTCCTGAAACTAGCTCTTATAGACCAGGCTGGTCTTGAACTCACAGAGATCCTGCTGCCTCTTCCTCCCAAGTGCTGGGATTAAAGGCCTGAGCCACCACTGCCTGGCTTGCCAACCTTACTTCTTTATCCCCTAGGTATCACTGAATCCTATTTCCAGGGAGATAGGTTTGAGGCTTCCTTTTGCACCCTCATCCTTAGCTACTGCATTTGTTATTTTCTATGACAAAGTACCTGATAGACGAAACCTGAGTGAGGATGAGTTCATTTTGACTCACAGCTTATGTAAAGTCCATCATGGCAAGAGAGGCATGGCAGCAGGAGTGTATGGAGTCTGGTCATATGATCAGTAAGCAGAGAAAGACAATCTGTTGCTCTCTCTTATTTCATTCAATCTGGGACCAAGTCCATGGGATGGTGCCACTCAGATTCAGGGTGGGCCTCCTCTCTCCGTTAGCCCTTTGGAAACACCCTCACATCCACACTTAGAAGCCTGTCTCCAGGGTGACTCTAAGTCCCATCAAGATTAAGCATCACAATTGACTTGTGCATAAACCCTTTCTCTTCTGTAAAATGTTTTTTTCAGTGTAGAGCCTGATGAGCAGAGTGGGCCTGGTTCAATAACAAAACTGGAGACAACCCTTTCCCTCTGTCATCATCCATCTCTTTCCCTCTAACAGTCTTTGACAGCAGTGGAGATGAACAGGAAAGCAGGGGACTCTCTCCATTGTGTTGTGGATCTGCCCTCCAGAATCTGCTTTGGGCAGAGCTGGGGAGTTCTGGTAGGGGAGGATGAAGCAGGTTGGCCTGTGACCCACAGGACCGCCACAGGAGGATGAAAGTGTGTATGTGGTAAGAGAAAAAAACGGTGTCTGGGAAGGGTGACACTCTCTTTCCTTGGTTAGAGTTCCCATGTAGCCAGTGTGTGGGAGGTACCTGGGAAGGTGTGTGGCAGAGTGGGCCCCAAAGCCTCGGGGGTCTGTTCTTGTTCTCAGCCCTCTTCCGAGCCCTGCCTCTCCCAGGTGTGAGGTGACGGAGGAATGGGGTGAAAGCAGGGCCCACCCCTGGAGGTTTCTGCTGTCTTCTTTCTACACTAAAGGATTTTTCTTATTTTAAGAGTAGTAGGCAGTAAGTTCTGGAATGTCTGAAACACGGAAAAGAGACTTAATAAATATACTTTCAAACCCGAGACTCAGCTCCTGGCCAGGAGACATGCAAACTTTTTAATATCCTTGTTCTGCATCTGCTTAAATGGAAACAGCCCCTGGTATTTTTAGCTGCTGTGTAATCAAAGTAAGAAGGAAAGAGGGAATGTATATTTTTTTCCTCTCCTAGTTAGAATAGGAGAATGAATTGCTCAATCCTTAACAGAGTCCAAGAAGGGAGGAAATTCCCGGAGTCCCCACTGATTGGCTCCTCCTCTGTTCTAGCCATGATTTAAACCCAGGGAGGGAAGAAGAGAGAGGAGAGAAATTGAAGGACAGACCAGCATTGAGGTCTACAGTACCTGGACCAGCTAACAGGAGCCACGGGGGTTGGAAGTGGCGTCCAGCAACCTCCCAGGTAAGAAAGCTTGCAACCGAGGCTTTATCTATGATTGGGAGGAGGATGGCCAACGTGGAGTGGCCATAGGCTGAAGTGTACTGCTAAAAATCTAGGTAAGGCAATACAGACTGAGTTAAAAAACAGTATCTGCCAGGACCTGTGAACCATGTCTTCAGCCAGTATTAGACTCCATCCTCCCAATGCCAGGAGGTACCACCGCCTTACCTGTCAGTGCAGTGTGTGGGCAACAGATTCTACCTGGAGCAATGCATTTTAGATGAAATATTTTCTAAGTCTATTCATGTTTCTTCTTGCAAAGACCTCTTCTCTCTGTGCAATCTCTTATGTGTTACAGCTCATTGTTCTCTTAAAACAGAATTTTCATTTCAGTTGTGATTAGGACACTATTATAACTTTTCCATCTGAGATTTTGTGTGAACCAATGAAGATGATGTTTGTGAACTCACAGGAAGGGGCTCACTTAGTCACATGTGTTTTAATTATTATTTGTGAGGGGAGGATTTTTTTCTCCTCAATTCTCATATAGTTACCCTCATAGTGCCCCAAGCAGGCATTTTGAAATTCTTCAAGAATGATGTGGTAGACTAATTTTGAGAGATATGACTTTTTATTTATAATTTTTGAGGGTGGGAAAAGGCTGGGATAAGAGGGAGGGAGGAAGACCAAGTGAGAAAAGACAGCATTTCACTCCTAAGGATGAGATTTGCTTATATAAGCATTAATAGAAGAATAAGCTCAACATAAAAATAACCAATTATCTACATCTGACGCAGGTAAGCCACAGCTCTGCATCTGTTGCAGACTCAGAGTGAAGGGGACAGTGTCAAGAGAAGATATACAGAAGGAAGTAGAGAGTATCAAGTACTGGTGCCATTTTCCCCGGAAACCAAGGGGAAATATCTCCTGGCTTCCTTTTGTGCTACTTTGAATTCTTTAATGTCTCTAATGGTGTTGATTGAAAAATCAAGGAAACTAGGGCAGATGATTTCCAGCCCATCTTGTGGCTTTGGCTTCCACTCCAGTGCTGTGCCGTGGTTTGACATGTAGAGTAGAGCAGCTCTTTTCTGAGATGAGACCTGAGGAAATCATGCCCAGGCCCATGGAAACTCCATTGCTCACTCCAGAGCCCTGGCTCCCATAGGATCTGGCTGCAGACATGAGGTCATGGTTTAGGTTCTGTTCGAGCATTTGGAACCACCAATCTGTGAGCGGATGGTGTGGGGGTATCAGGCCTGATTCCTATGGTCAGCAGCTTGGCCTAGTTCCACCACAGAGGACTCAGGCAGATGCCAACCAGCTGCTATCTAAATATGTGCATAGCCAATGTGGGTAGAATAACATAAATTCTTAGAAATTAGCATTGCCCCTCCAGCTTGATGGAAGGCTGGAACTTGAAAGTGTTTCAGTGTGTGGAAGAACACGTTGAACTAAGGAGAGAAACTGGAACTTTTCACTATGTATTATTAGCATTCACCTGAAGTACAAGTGTCATCAGATACACTTCACCGCCATGGAGAATAGGGATAATCATAGAGAAGCTAACACTTTATCATTCTGGGGGCTGGCTTGGTAAAAGCAGGTTCCCCCATTTAGATCTCCTGTCTATTTTATCTTTCTGTTGTGAATGAGACTGTTCCATGGAGACAAATGGAATTAATCCATTCACATAGGTTTAAATGACTGTCTTTGCCCGTTGTTCACAGACAACTTCTAAAGCTCTTAGCATGGAGACTGGTGTATAAGGAGTGTTTAGAAAATGGTAGCTACTATTATCATCATTCATTGGACCCTCTGCAAAAGGCAGATTAAGATTTGGTTTATAAAAGAAAATGAACCTGTTGAAACTCCTGAAAAAGTAGTTGAGCTCCAGGGATGGGCTGGGTGCATCATTTATTGTCTTTTGTGTCCTGGGTGTGTAGGAAACAATATAGATAGAGGGTTGTTGCATAAGGTGTGAGAGCCCTTACAGACACTTCCTGGGCACTCGTCAGGTGGACCCACTGAACTAGGAGCACAGGTGCACACAGTCTGGAATGTGATGTCATATAAAGCCATGTCTTCATTCTTGACTGCTGTCTCTCATCCTGTATGGAACACTTGTTCACAGAGTTCAGAGTCAGGGATAAAAATGTTTGTATGAATTTGGCTCAACTGGAGGCTGGCCTAGCAGAAACAATGCTGCCTCATATTTTAGATTCTCTTGCATACTGAAGAATGGGAAATGGGGACATTGGGGTCTCATGTCCAGGAGGGGTCATGCCACAGCAGGTTGCTCAGCTCCTTGAGAACTTGATTTCCTAAGGCACTCCTGTCAAAAGACTCAGAACCACCCAGGGCCCAGACTGTAGAGCACTGGAAACTAGGCTCAAGAAGAGCAGAGAGAGGAATGAAGTTTGCAGTGACATGTGTGACATCAGGACATCCTTAGCCACCCGCTCCTTCATTTTCTTTCATAGTTCAATGAGGTCCACCCTATTATTTGGGGAGAGAATATCTTCTTAGTGACTCTACTGGAAATCCATGATATTACAGCTTTTCTAGACCCAAAGCACTGCACTCATTTGCTTGTGGTTAACCATTAGGCAGGATGAGGTCATGCAGGAGCAGAGAAAGCCCTGAATTTAAGTATGGAACTCTTTGCCAGTGGCTAGAAGCTGGCAAGTACTTATTTGATGTAAGTAGTATTTTTTTCCTGACTCAGAGTATGTGTCTTTCTTTGGAGAGAATGAGGTGACACAGAGGCCATTCAACGAGAAGACCTTGGAAACTGAGAGGCCCTTCTCTCCTGCTAAGGCTTGGTTGACATGAGCCCAGTGGATAGAGGTCTGGTGTTCTCTACTGTTTTCCACCTTCTTGTGGGAAGTGGTGGGACCTAAGCCCACTGTGAGAGAAGCACAATTCATCTTTCTGTGCATCAGCTTGCACTGGTTACAGGCCAAGTAGGCTCAGGCTTCCATTACTGATTTATTGATGTTTTGCTGAATACCTGGTATGTCTTGGCTTCCTTTCTATTCAGAGCCCCTCTCTCGAAGGAAATATGGCAGGAAAGAGGATATTTGGTGTTTTTCTTTCCACATCTACAATATATATTGCAGAAAGATGAAGAATCCAGACACGAGGAGTGAATAGACCTGGTGTGTGATCCCAGCTCTGATGCTTGACTGGTTGAGTGGCCTGACAATTTTTTTTTTTTTAACATTTTGAGCACTTATGATAAAAAACATTGTTGATTGACTATAGCCATTTTGAGCATCAATTAAAGCTAATGTTTTAAAATTGTTTGGCCCAGTACCCATCATCTAATAAACACACACAAATCTAGTGTCCCTTATTTTCTAATTCACAAAATATTTGGCCAATGCTATGTTGTGTGACTAGGAAAACAGGAGGGCCGTGTATTGTCCTAGAAATTGCCATCCTTGAACTGACAGGCATCCTGGGCTGGGAATAGACATTCAGATTTGGACATGGTCCATTTGGGCTAGAAATTAAAACCATAGGTGTGGCTGCAGCTACCAAGAAGAAACATCAAGCAAGCATAGAGCCCTGTGACATCAGTGTGTCTCAAGGCAGATCCAGGGGACTGTCCATTTAGGTCATGGTGGGCGGTAAACCCTGTGAAAGACTTTCTCGGAATGGCCAGAGGCAGCATTTACTCCTGCTACTTTCTCTTGCCTTCTTAAACCACTCGATGCCACTCCCGGAATGACGTTCAGCATCAATGAGACAGTGGTTCCTGGGGGAGCCCTGGTTTCCATGGTTTCCTATGTATAAATGCCCTTTACTTCATGAATTCCTCCAGCACCTTCCCCACTTCACACCAGAAATGACCTCCCCGTAGAATCATCGTTACTCAGAAATGTCTTGTTTTTCTTGGTGACATTTGGTGTCCCACCTCATCCCACACTGAGAGCTGTCTCTGGTGTGCTATGCATATTAATACAGAGCATGAAGTCATGCCTTCTTCATGCCGTTCAGCAAGGGAAGGCGCTCTCCTGCCAGTCCTTGGAGCCAGAGCCAGCAGCTTCCCTTCTTGCTAACACTTGACAGTGTTAGATTGAGGATTTCCCCTGCTCATCTTCTTTCTAGCAATCTCTCTGCCCAGGAAAATCTGAGCTCAACATGTGCAATCTGAGAGCCTGTGATTAGCAAGGACATCTTGTTACAATTCAGGACAGGCGACACAGAAGGCTCCTATAAGAGCTGCTGGGGTTTCTCGTGTTCCAGGCTTCAAAAACAAACTCTGTGAGACAGGGTTTTTGGACAGCTTTGCTGTGGTTTATGGCAGGAGTTCTCTCTCTCTCTCTCTCTCTCTCTCTCTCTCTCTCTCTTTTTTTTGGTTAGGAACTTCTTCAGAAAAAAAAAATCTGCATTCCATTTAGTGCTCAGGAATAGTGAGCAGTAGGCTGGAGGGTGGTGTTGGATGGCAGGAGGGAGCAGAGATGTTGGTTTAGTTGGCTCTGCGGTTGTCCAGAGGGGATTTTGGATAGTATAGACTATGTCTTGCTATATCCACAGTGGAGACTTGAGTGAGCACAGGGGCACACAGAAGTGAAGGCTCCATTGCTCACCGAGTCTAAATTGTGGCCTTGCACTTAGTGGTCACATAATCAGCAGCAAGTTGTTATGGCCGCTGCTCCTTAGTTTCCAACTTGAGACTTAAGTGGGCAGTTTGTATTTGTTTGCTTTATCACTGGGATGAACTTTTGAATGAATCTCTATTCCATATTTCTAATCCACACTTATCTTCCAACTCATCTTGCTGGCTCTCCCAATTCCATCTTCTCACAGAAGTCTCAAGCAGATTCCCAAGCTTCTCTGCTTGCTTTGATATTAAATCACTTTCATGAGCACAAATCCTTTTTCTTGTTAGAATCTCAGTCTCCTCCAGTACACGGCTTTTCTTCACTACTAGTCCATGTTGCTGGTATCCACACTCTGTGTGTGTGTGTGTGTGTGTGTGTGTGTGTGTGTGCGCGCGCGTGC